AGCAACAAAACAGTAGACATTACACAAAAGGTACAAGTAGTAGAGAAAAACTCCCAAAGAAGGCATTTCTCAGCCTCTCACTGAACATGGCTTTCTATGTTGTTAAGTGGATCAAACAAAACAAATTTTCTTCAGAAATTTAAGATTACCCTTTGTCTTGGTTCTGTAGCTGTAGAGACCACAACTGTATTACAGATGGCAAGGGCTAGAAAAAAGTCAGTAAGGGCCGTGGCAGTCTTCATATCTGCAAACGGAGACAGGTTTTCAGTCCGGAGCGCAGCTTCTCTCACTCTTCTCAGCAGCCTGCTATCAGGAGCCACATCCTTTTCCTGGAAGAGAAATTATTTCATGTAAATTATTCCCATTTATGACTGTTCCCACTGAAGATCAATCACCTTCCCAGTTTCCTATTTCCTCTCATTGAATGAATCTATACCTAGAATTATGTAAGGCAAACGCCTTCTGGACCTAACATCTGCAAGAGAAGATGCAGTTCTGAAGGCTGCATAATCAGACTACTAAAAGGAAAAACATCTTAAAATAAATGACATGTTCACATTTTATTTCTTTTGAGATCTACTAGAATCAGAATAATCTAGCTCTCAAACTTTGAAACTCTGGACTACTGCATTAAAGAGTATTCCAAATTGAGGTGCTGATTGTAACTTCAAATGAGACTACAGTTTACACATGATTTTTGGTTATAGTAGTATCACTTTTCATTTCTAAAATCATTTGGCTTTGGATCCCAAAAGAGAAATGACCTCAAATTGTTCTTCTTCAGCTTTGCAATAAATATATACATATATCTTATTTGTTGGTGAAGTTATACTGCAATTCCACTACCACACTTTTATCAAACCTAAACTTGAAAGCCAAACTACTTAACAGTGGTCACTTATCTACAATTTAATCTGACATAGAGCTATGAGAATACTACACTTACTGGAAATTACATGTTAGCAGAGTCTAGTTTGGATTTAATTCAGGACCATATTTAACAAGAGCTTCTAAATTTAAAATACAGATCTTTGTGTGAGCCAGCAGATTTGGAAGCCTTCTTTAAGGAACTGGCAAAGTGATTTAGCTCCTTTCTAGTTCATCTCAGCTGTTACCCTCTCCCTTTTTCATTCTGGCATAGTTTTCTGATGTTTCCCCGATACACAACAGCAATTAATCAACCACATTCATGGTTACTGAAGCTGAGCTGCATTAGCTGCATTGTAACTCCTGCTTGCTAAAGTGAGTAGAGGTTCTTAAATCACCCTAATAATTGAAAATAAATCTATTGCTTATTTTGCAGTGCAGAGTTCAATTGAAACCCAAAGATGGAGCAAGATTATATACTAACCTTCTCTGCTGTGAGAGGTTCTGCTTTCTCTGGTTCAACAATTCCAAGTTTTTTTTGCATTGCATATAGTAAAAAGTCTTAAACATGGAAGCACTCCCCTCCTCTAAAAAACTGGTACATGTTGAGGATAATCTTGATATCTTTTAGTTACTGTTTAAGGTCCTTTTTCAGAAGCTGAAAACCTTGAGGTTAAATGGTCATTCTTTAGGAGCCTTTCAGAATACTATGCTGTGACATGCAATGGGTGACTGTACATCTGCTGCCTATATTTGAACCTGCTAAATACAGCAATTGCAAGTATCTTAACTGCCAATGAAGCACGTATATGCACAGATGTGACTCTTAAAACTGTTATGTTGGGGGTTATATCCAGCTGAAACAGTAACCATTGGAAACTTCCTGAGTGTTTGCCCAGCTGTCCATACCATTTCCTCATGCATTGCCACAATTAGAATAAAAATCAGGAACCACAATTAATTATATATGGATCTCAGCTCCTCTTAGGCAACTTCATTCTGCCCCCCTCTCCTTTTTTTAGTATCTGTATCCTCAATATGTGCCTCTAAATGTTCATGCTAAAAATGACAACTCACTAATGAGTATTCTGCTTCAGCTGAACCTTTCTGAACTCAAAATTTTCCTCTTCAAAAATTAAAAAAATTGTCAGAGACACTGACAGGCCAACTGTGGCCTCAGGATAGATTTTAAAAACAAAACAACACACACACACAACTTAGAGAAGTTTTTCTTTCTCCTGTGCTTTTTCACATCCAGTGAAAACAGGACTGATGAGAATTTCCCTATTTTGCCTATTTTCAGTGTTAAGGACTTCAGGAGATATGAAAATTCAGATGAATAAACATGTTCATTGACCAGTTTGAGCAAATAGGGAAAAAGGAAGGAAAAGTGTTACCATTAATGATTATTATCAATTAAATGCATTGCCCTACAAATGTTAGTATGTTAGCAAAAACGATAACATATTATTTATAACATGGCTAGTGTCATCTGATAGCTTTTTTCCTACCTAATGACACTAAAATCTGATATCACAGGAGAACTGAAATCTTCAAGAAATGTTTCCAAAAGCAGGCTGCTATTTATTTGAATATTTAAGTCTAGAAGGAAACACTGTCAAAATCTTAGTTTGGAGCAGCATCTAAGCACAGAGTAAGTGCCAATGCTCTATCTCATTCCAAATGTTTATAATATTTCTCCTTCCAAAGCTCAGTTAGATCTTTCTGTCAAACAGAGAGAGCAGTCTTGGTTTTACAGTACATTATTTTTTCCTCTGAGAATCTGCAGCAGCCACAAGAAACCAAATTAGGAAAAACCTTGGCAGTGAGGCGGCCAGTGCTGCCTTCTAGGCTCTAAATGGAACGGAGTCCTGCTGGGCTGAAGGCTGTCTCTCCAGAGGGCTAGATGGACAGAATAAAAATTAGTTTCTGTTCTCACTGGAGATGTGTAAGAACTGGTGTGCCTGTCTTTTTCCCAATTGCATTAGATACTTCTAATTTGGACTCAACCTTTTCTCTCCAGACTTTTCATAAATTAAAATAATAAGTCACTGTATTTCTGTCTCAG